TTTTCAAGTCTGCCACCGACTCTCAGAATATCATTATCTAGAAATGGGTTCAATGATAAAATTTGTTTATTTGAAATCCGCTTACCAGATTTGATATCGGAGATTTCTTTGGAGAAGTTTTCTTCTTGAATAATAGTTATAATTTTTTCTAACGCACAACTCAATTCTTGTACCGAGAGGGGACCAGAGAGTTTATTTTGGTTTCGAGAATTGTGGACAAAGCGTAAACAATAGGCAAAAGTGCGGCGTAACTTAGAGAATCGGGAGAATTTTGTGAATAATTGTTGCCAAAAGTTGTTTACCGAAGATTTGCCTTGGACTACTAAAGCGATTTTTCTTTCCTCGGGTAAATCAGATAATTTGTAACCAATATCAAACTTTTCCAACTTTAACTCGGGATTTAATAAGAACTTGGGGCCATTCCACCAAAGGTCGCATTTTAGAACATCTTGAGGAGCTAAACCTCTAGAAGCGATATCAGCAGGATTGTCTGCAGATTTGATATGTCTCCAACAGTAGCTTTGTGTCAACTCCTGAATTTGAGATACGCGATTGGCTACGAATACGTTCCACCTGCTGGCGTGCGATTTGCACCAACTTAGGGCAATTTGGGAATCTGACCAAAGATTGACAGAAGAAACATCTAGTTTTTTACAGTAAGCATTCACAATTCGCTCATTTAATTGGGCTAAGAGCAACATGGCACATAGTTCTAATTTTGGAAGCGACAGTGACTTGAGAGGAGCGACTCTGGATTTGGAAGACACAAGACGAACAGAGACTGCATTATCAAAGTACATAACTCTCAAATAGATACAAGCAGCATAAGCTTTCGAACTAGCATCGGCGAAACCATGTATTTCAAGGATCTTGACGGGACTGTCTAAAAAGAGCGGTCTGGGTATGTTGAGAAAATTAAGTTTATAGAGATTTTGGCAGAAGTTAGTCCATTCATGGATTATCGATTCTTCTGTAACTTCAGTATCCCAATTTGATTTTTGAAGCCAAAGCTTCTGCATGAGAATTTTGCCTCTAACTATAACGGGGTTAACGAGACCGAGGGGGTCGAAGCACTGAGCTATCGTGGACAAAATTTTTCTTTTAGTTATTGGACCTTCCAAGGGGCCTTGCGGTGTCGAAATTAAAAAACAATCAGATACAGAATTCCAAGTCAGACCGAGAATTTTGCTTGGAGAACCATCTAGATTCATGTTTCGAGTCAAATCTGATGCGTCAGGAATCTGATTAAGAAAACTCTTTGAATTATCACAAGTCAATACAAACTTAAAAATTCTGAATCTGCAAAGTATATCATAGAGTTCCGGTTGTACTTGATAACCTTTCATGGTTGTATCGTTTAGAGATATTCCAGAAGAAGTGGGACAAGAAGCGTCAAAAACGACTCTTAATTTAGTAGTCACACTCGAATCTTTCAAGACACACAAATGAGGGATAAAATATTTATTGTGGCCTTCAGGGGTTTTTAGTGTTAAAGGGATGTTCCTAGCGTGTCCTAGTTGCACAAATTCATCGATGAATTTTTTGTATTCTAAGAAGAGAGAGGGATCCTTTTCGAATCTTCTTTCTAGACTAATAAATCTTTTCGATGCATTCGAAAAGGAATTTCCGAGTTTCTCATATTCTGAGGGAGTTTTTAGAGGAATAGAAACTTGATATCTACCATCCTTTAAGACCTTGGTAGTTGAAGTGAATATTTTTTCGGCAGCGGACTCTTCTTCATTCAGGAAGGTCTTGGGCGGAATTTGCTCCAGTTCCCAGAATTTTGCGATAGTTTTTTCTAATTCAGTGGTTTGAGCGAGTAAGGAGACCTTTCCGTGTGCACTGGTCGTGAAATTGGTGGTAACACTGGGTGAAGCAGTCACCGATGGAACGCTTCCCGCTATCAAATAGCCTAAGTGGGAATTTTGAAGTACTGGGAGGTTAGATCCTAGTTTAATTAATCCTTCATCGAGAATGTCGTAATACAGATCTGCTCCAATGAGCATATCTATTTCTTCGGGGATGTGAAAATATGGGTCTGCGAGTTGGATATTTTTCGGTAACCTTAAGGATTGAACATCAATTTCTACTTGGGGTAATTTACAAGTGATCTTTTTAAGGACAGCACACGTGACCTTAAATTTCACATCAGGATTGACATCAGAGTAAATAAAGATGTTGACCATTTTATGCGACGCAACACAATTTTCGGAAATTCCGAAGATGGACAATATCTTTTTGAATGGTTGGCACCCGAGTCTTGAAACTAACTGTTCAGTCGCGAAGGAGCTTTGACTGGCAGAATCCAATAGGGCCTTGACTTGAATAGGAGTTCCTTCTTTCGAGTATACTGTGACTAAAGCCGTGGCTAATAGAATTTGAGAACTAGTTCTTGATGTCGATGCGTGTGAAAGAGATTGATTTTTTCTCACGTCAGAGGTTTGGGGCGAGTTCCTAGAGGTGCTCGTGAATGTTTGTTGAAGAGAGGTTGAATTTTTAGTTTGAGGCACAGGCTTGGGAGCATTTGACACGTGCAAAAGGGTATGATGACTGGATTTTTGACAGATAAAACATTTCTGCGTTGATCGACAATTTTCAGTAACGTGTCTATTGCCTAAACAAATCGAACAAATATTATTTGACCTTACAAATTCCTGTTTTTCAGACATCGGTATGTTTTTAAATCCGTAGCACGTATAAATACGATGACCTTCCTTGGTGCAATAGATACATGAACTTTGATTTCTGGAATTCTGAGGGTTATTATTTGTATGTAAACTAGTTCTTTCATTTTTCTTTACGAATTTGTTTTCGAAAGCGAGTAAATTTTCGAGGACAACACAGCGGCTATTAAGAAATGTAAAGAAGTCTTCTAAAGTCGGTAACTCGTTTTTGTCTTTATCTTTTTCCTCCTCAAAAAGTTTCTTTGAAGTGTAGTCTAATTTTTTTTGGAATAAATTTATCAAAACTAGTTCAAACAGTTGTCTATCAGACAAATTTAATTTTTTTAAAGATTCAATATTTTTCTTACAATTTACTACAAAGTCTCTTAAATTTTGCGCATTACATTTTGTTATAGTTGGCAAGTCTAATAGTGAGTTCAACAAATGGTTTAAAAGCAAACACTTATTTTCATATCTGTCTCTTAAAATTTTCAACGCGATTTCAAAATTTTCGTTCGTCACACTGAGGGAGTCTATAAGTTTTAAACTTTCACCTTTCAAGCAAGATTTTAGATACAAAAATCTTTGAATGTCACTTATACTAGGGTTCTTAATAATTAGCGCATCAAACAGCTGATAAAAGGCCGCCCAATCACTTTGATTATTAGAAAACTGGTTGATTTTGATCTCTGGTAATTTAACAGACGGTATATTTGACACAGAATTAGAATTTGTTAACATATGCGAGGTTACAGCGGAATTATTTAAATTAGGTGATAATTGTTCAATTACATGTTGAATTATTGATAAATGTTTAAAATATTTACTTTCTACAGCATCTCTATCCTCAGCATGATCTCCTTGATCAACAGGTAACTCAAGTAAAAGCGTCTCGATGCAATTCTGAACATCATTATATTCCGAAAATACTTTTTCTAATTTATCAGCGCGCATTTGAAATTCAAATTTATCTTTGATAACATCTTTGTTGGAGTTTACCCAGTTACAAATCCTAGTTATCGAGCTTTTTAAATGGGCTCTTTGATTTTTTAAATCTTCCAGCGAATTGATAGACATTTTAAAAGTATTCACTTGAATTGATTTTTCAAAACAGCGAAATGAACATACGAATTTTTTCCGTTACGTCCGAAATAACGTCAAAACGCGAAGTATTGCACAACACTTTATAAAATTGGAATTGTCTCACCAAATTTCTGAAGTACGGTCCTGTCTAACCGCGACGAAAGCGAGTCCAAACTCGTGTCGGTAATTTTTCAAAGACCGAAGGAAGCTGCTTCCGTCCGAGCGTCTCCGTCGGCGTCAATTCAGTACCAAGCAAGCTGATTTGGTAATAATAACCAAACGTTACGATGCGTTGAGGAGTTTTACAATTTTTCTGATAGGCAAAACGGCCAACAATCCGGCTGCTATGGACCAAACAATGGGGGAGAAACGTATCCTTGCTTCACCACCATCTAACGGGTTGATTTGTTGGGGGTGTGGACTGTATTCTTGCGGGGCTGGTTTATTTTAAATGATAGCCGTTTAACACAACACAAACTATATTCTGTCACAACGCGACGACGGTACAAGATAAGGCATTTAACAATCGGTTTATTTGAGTTAATCACAAACACAATTTGCGTTAAAATAGAGATTAAACTTCCTCGAAAGAAACCGTTTGAGGGGCTGGTTTAAAGAGGACACCGACTTATAAGGGAATATTAAGAGTGAAAGGGGCTTAAAGGGGGGTTTAGCGATAGGGCGATTTTCACTTTTCTATCGTCAAGGGCGGTCGCGGTCGACTGACTAACTGCGCGCAACGCATGTCTGGAAAAACAGGCGCCGTCGGGGCGGTCAGTCACGTCTATGCAGCGTGATCAAGGGAGGCGATAGACGTTGTCACGTCTAACGCAATATCCGCGTTTCAGGGTTCGCGAGGGCATTGGGTTGTTTTATCAACACTCAGATTGATATCATTTTAAGGAATTTGGCTCCATTCTACGTTATGCAACTCCCAATTGTAAGCTCTTTTAATGAACTTTAGGCTGAATGTCTAAAACTTGAGGTTAAGAAGTTTCGTGCGGATCACTATAGAACTTGCATATTTGTCATGAATTGTTTTTAAATATATGCGAGGTTAATGTTGTTCAAGCTACTTCTTCCTCAATGGTTTGCTTTAACTGCAATCAACCCGGTCATTCGTTTCGCAACTTTTCTGCTCCTATCAACAAGCGTTGTTTTCGCTGTAAAAGACAAAATGTCACCGTTCGCACGTGCCCGGAATTTATTTATTTAATAAGCGTATGGCATAAATATACACAGTACATAATTAAGTCACAATTTAATATCTAAATTATAGATGTATTCAATCGATGCTGGAGTCGCGTACAGGAAGTCCTCTGGATCACCGTCGTATCTTCTTATAGGACATTCGGTTGTAATGTGCTGGATTGTTTGCCTCTCTGCACCACAGTCACATTCGGGACTTTGGGTTTGGTCCCATTTATACCGGAAGTCTGCACAGTTTCCATGCCCAGTTCTTATTCTGTTTAGAGTGGACCAGACCTTCCGTGGTAGGCCAAATCCCGGAGGGGTAGTATTTATACCGGGCATGTCTCTGATAGCTGGGATGGCTTCATTCTGTATGTTGCTCCACTGATTGTTTAACTGGAAGTCGTTTGCCCTCAGTTCTTCGGCTGTTCTCGTTGGCGGGTTTCTCGAACGCAAGCGATTGCGGTTGGCATCAGCAATTTCATTCTGGATTGGCAGGTTAGGGTTGTTCTGTATCTTCTTAAAGGTTTTCAGTAAGGCATTTTGCCGTCGTAGTTCTGGAGGTGGTATAAAACTTAGTAGCGGAAGCCATTGGGTCGGAGTGGATTTTATTGTACCAGATATTAACCGCATTGTTGTGTTTAACTGTGTGTCAACAAGTCTTGTGTGAGCACCATTCAGCCACACTGGCGCACAGTATTCAGCAGTTGAGTAGACAAGCCCCAGGGCCGAGCATCGCAGTGTGGAAGCATTTGAACCCCATGTTGTTCCGCATAATTTGAGGATTATGTTGTTCCTAGTTCTTAATTTGGCTGCTGTATTTTGGAGGTGTTGTTTAAAAGACAGTGTTCTGTCTAGAGTCACTCCCAGATATTTTGGGGTGGTGTTGTGTGTTAGCAGGTGGTTGTCAGCATAGACTTGGAGCTGCCTGTGAGCCATTTTGGTGTTCGGATTCAGCTTAAGTCGCCACGACCTAAAGAATTCCCCTAGTGTCGCAAGGTCCTCTGTGAGTACGCGCTCGGTAGTTTTCATTGACTTGTCCCTGGTTGCAATTGCCCAATCATCCGCATACCCGAATTTTTGACTTTGGGTAGGTGGCATATCTGATATGTACAGGTTAAATAAAGTTGGGGCGAGTACAGATCCTTGTGGAAGTCCGTTGTTTAGGGTCCTATTAGAGCTTTTTGCACTTCCCATGGAGACCGCGAAGCATCTACTACTAAGCATGTTGTTCATTAGTCGATATATTGTTTTGCATGGGATTACTTTTAGCAATTTGAAGAGCAGACCATCCTTCGAGACCGTGTCGTATGCTGCCGTCAAGTCTATAAATGCCACTGAGGTCTTCAGTTTCCTTTGGTAGCCACCTTCTATGTAAGTTGTAAGAGCTAAAACTTGGTCTGTTGTGCTGCGCCCTGGTCGAAATCCTGCCTGCTCTATTGGGATGTGGCAGGACAGTACTGAACAAGTCGTTCAAGAAGTTTATATATTGCATTCAGCAGTGCAATGGGGCGGTAGCTTTCTGGCTTGTCGGCAGTTTTTCCAGGCTTTAGGATTTCAATTATGTTGGTTTGTTTCAGCTTTTTTGGGATTTGTCCTGATTGTAATATACTGGTGTAAAAATTCGACAACCATGTTCTTGCTGACTTTCCACAGTGTATCAAAAACTCTGGGTGGACGCCATCCAGTCCAGGTGCTTTGCCGCTCTTTGTGTCTTTGATTGCTGTGTTCACTTCCTCTATAGTAAAGGGGCAGGAGAATGTTGATTCTTCCGGGCTGGTCAGTTTTAGGTACTTCAGCTGCTTCTTAATGTTAGTCGTGAATTGCTTGATGCTTTTCCCCCTTGAAGTATTGACTATGTGGGAGGCGACTTTATTTGGGTGGATATCAGTGTTAGGGCGGGCAGTTGGGCCTAGTTTTCTTAAAAGAGACCACGCATTGCGGCTCGATTTTTTGAAGTCCAGTGACTCGACTGTGCTTGTCCATTTATCCCTTCTAGCTTTGTCCAGGCTGTGGAGGAGTTCATCTGCTATCTCACCGTCGCCGCTGTCAAGGAATTGTTGATAGGGACGGTCGCTATCAGGAACGTACTCTTTGCGATAGCCCCTTGGAACATGTTTCTTAGCAGAAGAGATGACGGTACCAATGAACCTATCGTAATTTTTGTGCGTCGGCGGAATCCAGCGGAGGCACTTGTCAAGCTCAATGGCAAAGGAGGTCCAGTTAGTTCTGCCAAAATTCCAGCGTGGTCGAGGGACAGATGTGATTAGTGGAACTTGGATACCTATTTCGTAAATAATGGGTCTGTGCTGGCTATGAGGGAAGTTGTCGAGCACTTTTCTTCTAGTTGGTACAGTTTTATGGTACTGGTCTCTTGTCACAAAGCACAAATCAGGGTTGTATTCCTGCTTCCAAGCAGCGGACCTGTAGGTGGCCTTGGCTTTAGCATCGAAAACGTGAAAAAGTTGGTTTCTCTCTGCCCAAATCACCAGAGTATCTCCATTTTCGTCGTTTTTGCTATATTTCCATTCCTGGTGGTGGCTATTAAAGTCTCCGAGGTAGACAGCTGGGTGTGGGCGCAAGTCTGTAACCTGTGGTGGCCAAAGCATTTTTGGAGGCTTGTAAATGTTTGTTATATGTATATCTCCAATCTTTGTTACCACGGAGTGAATGTTGTTCTGTGTGCTACAGGATATGAGATGGGAATTTTCAATGCTGCGTCGAGCGTATGTGGCATTGCCATAAGCGTGATGGTAAGTGGCTCCCAGAAGGTCGTAACCGGGGATTTTTCCTCTGGTTTTTAGATGTTGTTCATCTGCAGCATGAGTTTCCTGAATGACTACCAGGTCGACATCGTTCGAGGTTAACAACTTAGATAGAATTTCACTCTTTGATCGGCTAATGCCCTCTATGTTTATTTGGCAAATTCGGACATAGGCCCGAGAGTTCTAGTCATTGGGCCCTTAAAAGAGCCTGTGGTTTGCTGATGTGCGCCTCTCATTGGGGAAAGAGGTTTCTGTGTATAGGCCAGGAGATCTGAGAGATAGTTTGGTCGCCTGTTCGCTCTAGCTCATTTAGCGCTACCCAGGGTGCACGTGTGGTATCCTACCACGGACGCGAGCTAGCTTACACCCCACCGTTTGCACGTGCCCGGAATGTTCACCTCGTGCGGGAAACGATCACAGGAGGAACTAATCGGTTATAATAGTACCTCCACCTCTTTGCATTGTTCGACGACTCATGTTTTTGCTCATAGAGCATTACTCGATTATGTCATACCTCATGCTGATAAAGATCAATGCCCTTATCTTGAAATCATCATATTAGGGAAAACTATTTTAGGAATGCTTGATTCCGGTGCTAACGTTACCGTTGTTGGTCAGTCTGGTTAGGAATTTCTTTGCCAATGGACACTCTTGTAGAGTTTAGGTCGAGTACCAGTGCCGATGTGCATGCTAGATAGACTTTGCGTTGTCGACGTTTTGGTTGTGCCAAGCCTTCCCCATCCTTTGATCTTAGGTATTGATTTCTGGACGAAAATGGGTATCGTCCCTGACTTGCGCCGTAATGAGTGGCATTTCTCAAATGAGCCTTCTGTTTGTCAAATGAATATTGTCTGTGACGTAGTAGATCTGTCTGTAGAACAACGTAATTCTCTTAACATCTTGCTTGACGAGAATTTTTCAAAGATGGGACTTTAGGTCTTACTAATGTGGTTGAGCACGAGATTATTGCTGAAGGTTCGCCTATTAAACAGCATTAAAAATCCTGTCTCCCCAGTTAAACAAAAGCTAATAATCGAAGAACTGATAAAAATGCTAGAAGCTGATGTTATCGAACCATCGAAAAGCGCTTGGTCTTCCCCGATATTAATGGTTCCGAAAAAAGATGGAACTCACGGGTTTTGTGTTAACTTCAGGCGTTTGAACGCCGTTACAAAAAAGGATGCATATCCTATTCCTTATGTCGCCTCCATACTTGATAGCCTCGGTGTTTCAAAGTACTAAAGTTCCCTTGATCTTAAATCTGCTTTTTGGTAAGTACCAATTAAGGAAAGCAGTCGAGAATATTGCGTTTTCACGGTCCCCGGTCGTGAACTTTTTCATTTTAAAAGAATACCATTCGGACTAACTATTGCCCCGGCAACCTTCCAAAGGTTGATGGAAGAAGTGTTAGGAGTTGACCTTCAACCCAATGTTTTCGTCTATTTGGATGATATAATTATTATATCTTCAGATTTTGAGTCGCATTTGAGTATTATTGGTAAGGTTTTTGATCGTCTTCTAGTATCTGGTCTTACAGTCTCGCGAGAAATGTCAGTTTTGTAGACCGCATCTTAAATATTTAGCTTATATTGTAGATCGTAATGGACTCCACGTAGATCCCGAAAAAGTAATTGCAATACTTAATATACCTGCTCCGACTAGTGTTACTCAGATTCGCAGTTTCATAGGAATGTGTAGCTGGTATCCTCGCTTTGTTCCAAATTTCAGTTCGCTCCTTTGTTTCGTCTGACGAGTGCCAAAAATCCTTTGACAGTCTAAAGCAATACTTGGTTTGTAGCCCTATTCTTACTTGCCCGGATTTTTCCCTACCGTTTACTTTGCAGTGTGATGCTAGCGCTTTTGGTAAAGGTGGTGTATTGACTCAAGATTTCGATGGCACTGAAAGAGTAATATGTTATCTTTCTAAGACTCTTACTACTCAGGAAAGAAATTATAGTACTACAGAACGCGAAAAGTTATTTAAAGTTATTACTGATCACTATTCCTTGTTGTGGTTGAATCGTTTGCAGTCACCTACCGGTCGTTTAGCTCGATGGTCACTTCATTTGCAGGACTACAACTTTACTTTAGAACATCGTCGTGGTAAAGATCATGTAGTTCCCGATTTTCTCTCTAGAACCGTTCTAAATTCTATTTTATATATATATATATATATATATATATATATATATATATATATATATATATAATCAGGTTACTAGCTCAGAACTTTTCTCTTCCAAAAGTATTAAAGATAGTTTTGGTTAGTTGGTTATATATATATATATATATATATATATATATATATATATATATATATATATATATATATATATATATATATATATATATATATATATATATATATATATATATATATATATATATATATATATATATATATATATATATATATATATATATATATATATATATATATATATATATATATATATATATATATATATATATATATATATATATATATATATACCTTGCGTAGCCCCTTGAGACGTTATCGAGCCCGGGCGTATATTCTCACCATTTGATTTCATTGGCTGTTGCCATCGTCCCACCTAAATATTTCGGGGGCTCATCAGCTACGCGTATATTCATAGGAAAACGTTGAAATAGTTCAAAGCATGCACCTATAGAGGGCGCCTTATATAATACATACTTTTCGGATCTTGCTAAGCCCGCACTAAATATACGGAGTAGATATTATTTGCATCTTCTTTAGCCCTTCTAAATATACAAAATACATAATATTCGCATCTTGTTTAGCCTTTTTGCCGGTAATATACAGTATACAGTATTCGCTTTTTGAATGTTTTAAAGCCCCTCCTAAAACATACTCAGTGCATAGCATTCGCACCTTATTTAGCCTATTAATTTTAATACAATCTGCCTTATTATCTACTTCGTTAATATAAATGTCGTAGACATAATGCAAATTTATCCCTTTTCTGCCTAGGCATTTTACAAAAAGCCGCCAAAACTAAAATATACTAAGTACGTAGTATTCGCACTTTGTGATTAATTTTAATAAATTCTGCCTAATCGCTGACTTCCTTAATTTAATTAGAAAATTTAAAAAGCAATTTGATTAAGATTGTACCATGTTTTGAATTAACCATAATAACTCCATAACTCCATGTCCTACTTAAGTGCTCTAACAGGTGAAAAAAGATGAAATTAGAGGAGTGATGTAATAAACAAAACAAATATCTCGAAAAAACTTTATTTCTAAAATATCAAAATGAAATATTCCATGTGAATTAGTTTGTCGCCTTTTTAAGTTGACAGTCATCCAGTGACTGCCTATTTGTAGCAATT